TTGGGGGGATCGAATATGCACTTACCAATCCAAAACAGAGCAGATGGCAAAGCAAACAGGTAAGCACTTGTTTTATCTTCCAGATATTGCAGTTCACTGAATATCCCTATTTATTTTGGGAACTTTAGCACATCTGTAAATCAGATGAAAGACAAACAGAGGTGACTAAAAGAGACTTGAATGAATTGTGGAATTCTAGGATTTTCACACTGTCAGGTGGAGACAGAAAGAATTTCATTCTCTGCCAGTCTTTAGGAATCATGTCGAATTTTAGGTAGCAGCATTTGAAATTAAACTTAGCTGAATAAAATACAAGCAAATAAAATACTACATCATTGTGTTCATCTAGTGTAAAGACCTTGGCTTCTAAATACCATTCTCCACATAAAGGAACCAGAGTTCGTTGGAAAATGACTGAGACAGAAAACCACTGGTGAAGTTAAATTTTCTCACAGTGTCAGAAAGCAACAAAGTTCTCAATGATTAATGGGAACATAACAAAAAACATAGGAACTAGCTTCAAAGATTCAAATGGCAAAATTTTGGACAACTGAGACAATTAAAAAAATTATAACATTGCATTAAAAAAGGTCAATAAAAATGTATGGAGGAGGGAGAGAAAAAAACCTCTTTGTAACAAAAGAATGCTAGCTTTTATGTGTAGAAGGAATGATAAAATTAAAATCATCATCTTGTAAACAACAATGTAGGAACTGATTTAGGCAAGAATCACCAAATGATGCTAAAAACTATAGGGTGAAAGGATTGCCACATTCTCAAAGTGTCACCTAACATATTACTTATTGATACAAAGGAAAAATAAAGATATTTTTACAGTAGTGAAAGTGTCTTAACCAAGGGATCAAAGTAAGCATCATCAGTAATGGATCAAATTAGCATTATGTATCTTCTGATATGATGCAATGGGAAGTATGCAATATCACCTATGGCTACGTGCAAAAAAAATTTAACCTGAAACTAGTCGTGAGAAAACAAGTTCATACTGTAAAATAATTCACAAAACAATTGTCCTGGATTTAACAAACTTGTCGAGTTTGTAAAAGAAAAGAAAAACAAAAACAGGGAAAAGAAAAGAAGAGGCAAAAGAATGGACATAGATTAAAGGAGACTAAGGAGAAAAGACAACTAAATGCAAATTGAGATCCTTGATTAGATATAAGTAAATACATATATAAATACATGGGACAAATGAAGAAATTGGAATGAAACTGTAGATTAGATATTATTGTGTTAATATGCAATGTCCTAGATATGAAAATAATATTGTGTTCATATAAAAAGAAGTCCTTGTTCTTATGTAATACATGTTGAAGTATTTAGACTAAAGTATAATTATGTTTGCAACTTAATTTCAAATATCTCAGCAAAAAGGGTATAGATTTAAAATGCATATATTGATAGCATTTTTAAAGCAAACAAAAATGATAAAAATTATAACTTCTAAGAGAAAGGTATATGTGTACCCATTATACTATTCTTTTAACTTTTGACAGGATTTAAGTTTTTAATTTAGAAAAGATAATGCTCATCTCTAAGTGGCTCAATTCAGTTGTTGAGGAAACAGTTCACTGAAATCCCAAACAGAAAATAAAATCTTTTGGCAGCTATGTCAATAGATCTTCTGCAAGTTCCCACTGGTACATAATGCTACTTGGTCATCACAGGCTACGACCAATGGGCAAAATAAAAACACAATGTGAATAATATCAGATGAGAGAGTTTTATTTCCATTCAAGTCACATCTGGCTTTCTTTGAGGGCATGGCAGATAAGTGAACAAAAACCCTCATTAGGCACAAGAAACTTTATAGAACTTCTTAGAATTGATGATGGTCAATTTGTTAAAACTAGTGGTAGGTTTCCCTAATGAACACCGAAATTTCTGCATAAAATTAAATAAAATATTTAAACAATAAACAAAAAGCCTTGCTTAAACTGCTAAGCCTGCTAAGTCAAACTGACCCACCATACTACTCTAAAGCTTCTGAAAAGTAAGTTGCCTTTTTTTGTCAACATGGAGAATTGAAGTTACTTTTTGGCTTAGCAAATTATTCATTCATTGAACAAATATTGATTGAACAGTCTTCTAGGTGCAACAAAACAGAAATAAGCAAATATGTCATATAATGTCAGTGCTTTGAGGAAAAAGAAAACAGTGTCATGAAGAAACAGGACAGCAAGGAAATAAAAAAGAATAATTTTCGGTAGGGTGGTCAGACAATGCCTACCAAGATGAAGAACTGAGAACATAGTGTATGTCCAGGAAATAATTTACAGTCCAATGTGGCCTTGCAAAGCATACATACGTAAGAAGTTGGATTTAAGGCTGACAATAATATTGGGGTTAGGGCTGAGAAGCCTTGAATACCAAACTAAGTTGTTTGATTTTAGACAACTAGAAATTGCTGGGAGCCGCACTGGCCTCACTGGATGACAATCATAGCGAGGAAATGGAAGCGTTTGTACAGCTCCTGCCATGAGAAACGAAAATTGGTATCTCCTTCTGCTACTACTGGCTCATGTTGGAAATGAGCCTGCTGATATTGACCAGGTCTCATAATATTTCAGATCAAACCAATATTCCCCACCCAGATTGCTCATAAGGAAAAGCATATTCCTGCCTTTTCAAAAGAGACTTCAGATGAAAGCATTGTGGATGATTGTCAAAAGGCTTTTCCTATGGGCCTTGCAGATCCAAGACTTACAAAATAAAGGGGGCTAAGAACACAAGAGTAACAACTGAGCCTGGCCCTGAGACAAAGAGCCTAATTTAGAGTTAAGGACAGATATCCACCCCCCACCCAATTGTTTCTGCTTGGAGCACTGCCCCTCCCCCCCCAAAGGCATTTGTTATCAGCATTTGGAGTGACTTATTCTGGCCTTGAATATGCTGATTGCTCCCTGTGAAGGAACCTATTGAGGAACTTCTTTTGTGATTATGAGAGCAACACTGTTTTTCTTGATACTTCTACCTTAAACAAACAAGCTATTGACCCCTGCCCACAAAGAAGTAACTTCACCCTTTTTATGCTAAAAACATTGTCTAGTATGCTAAAGATACCTTCCTTCCCCATAGGATAAGCATCTAAATCACCTACCTCAATCACTATTGATAAAGGTTATGCAGGAGTCTTCTACAAATCTATGTTCTGAGAAATTCTTACATATCAAAGAAGTTTGTCATCAGAAAACATTGTCTAAGGCAACTGCCACTTCTGTGCCATCCCCCAAACACTTAATTATAAAATACAGTTGAGCCCCAGTCAGAGCAGAGATGCCTGCCTGGTGACCAGAAAGATTCACATGGTGCTCTCATCTCTCCCTCGCCAACACCGTCCATCCTTCAGGGACCTCTGGACCCCGGCCAGAGCTGGCCACCGACAGAGATAAATGAAATGAAATGATGTGATCAGTGTTATGCTCCTATTTTTTCCCAAAGAATTTGATACTGTACATTAAAGATTTGTGAACTAAATTTCTTCAAACCTCAAGAAAAAAGCAATTTAATTTCCTTTACAGCCATATTCTATAGATTACCCTAAAGGAAAATGTGTATATTTTAGTCACTTCTCAGTTATCTAGATGTACAACATGGGAGTACTGTCAAGGAAGGACAGGCCAAAATTTGTGTAAAAGCCACACTATGAGATTGAGACCATGATCTGATTTCCTGAAGCAAGAAAAATTGTATGAGGAGCAGTTTCATTAAAATGTTCCTCTGGACAGCAAGCAAATAGAGAAACCTGACAGTATGAGGAGATAGATACCCTGCTGCCCATGATTGTTTGTTTTGTTTCTACTCAATAAGCTTGTTGGGGAGGAAGAAGTTTTCTCTACCATTCAAGATTCTTTTGGTTGGGCTTAAAAAGTTAAATTTACATGAGACAGAATAACAGGAGAAAATCAAATTTCATTTTGGAGATACAGGAATCCCACATATATGAAAGGATCAAAAGCAGAAAAGTAAAATGAGGTATGTTTATATATGCCATCCTGAACCAAGATAAGAGGGTAGAGGTGTGGAACTTCAAAAGAAAGGAAAGGAATTCACAAGAGATGAAAAAGAGTAAATGTTTGGCAAACAAATGTTTACTGGACCATACAGAAAAAAGGAGACATTCAGAGAAATTTTAACAAACAGACTGTATGCTAAATTCCTTCTTTTCTACCACCTCTGTACATATTATAATGTAGTTACCTATGGCAATGGTTTTATTTCTGGAGCAGGCCCTCTACCTAAATTCCTTTAGGCAGTTAAGGAAAAAGTCAAAGTTTCTTCCTGAATTTTTGGTCTTTGATTGTCCTCAGCTCAAATTAGTCATGTCAAAGTGGCGTATCTTGGGGCAATTTATTCTAAACTCCTACCAGCTAAAAGCTTTGGTCCTGTGTCTCTTCACAAGTGTCTCAGTCGACCAGGGTAAATCCAGATAAAGGTGATACAAAACACATTATATATTTTCAATAGAAACATTAACATGGAACACAGATTATCCATGTACAGTCAACAATGTAAAACACTGAAATCATACTACAGAGTAGCAACAAATATCCACACTTCAATGCTTTGAAAATGAATGAAGATAATTAATAGAATTATTCTAAATTTCTCAGGCATTAACTCTTCCTCTATATTTCATTACTAATTCATTTATTTGTTCACTAAACATTCACTGGAGCACCAGATAGGCAAAAGGCATTGTTGTGAACTGTGAAGAGCAATGTCCATAATTATTTCTGCTTTCCCAACAGGAATCTGTTATAATTCAATGTAGCTTTAAAATTTTAAAATAAGAGTCTTAAATTTGGATATCAGTACAATCTAAGTTTCTCTAGCATTGTCTTATATCTTGAGGCTCTAGACTTATGAGTTTTCCATTCATAAACTATGTGATCTTGAACAAATTAAATATCTGTCTGGGGATCATTTTCTCATCTGTGAAATAAAAATAGTGATCTCTGAGATTTGCTCTTACTGACGTGGATCAGTGATGAAAGTAGACAATTCTGAGCATCAGACCTTCTAGTGTAACTGACTTATGATCCCTGTAGTTCTGAAAAGAAAAAAGTAATTTAGAACAATAAGGGCTTATGTCTGTAGTGTGTGTGCATGTATATAAAGGTGACTGTGTATAACTGAGGACTTGATGAATGAGATTGGGGTGAGGGTGGAGGGGATATGAAAGACTAATCATTTCTGAGCAGTGATGGAAAGGTTTTACTACTGATATTTACAACAATGAAGGTTTCTACACTTGATCTGAGCTCAATTAAAATAAAATAAATGCACATATTCCATAATGTTGCTGAGAAAACTGAGGTTAGGCTCATGAAATATTTAGAGTCTAGTGTTTAGCAATAACTCAGTAAATGTTTAGTGATGACTATTATTTGTAATCATTATCATTAGAATAAAGAAATCATGAAATTATTAAAGGTATTATTAGAAGTTTAGAATAAAATCTTAAATATTTTAATTATTCTAAAAAACACAGAGATTCAATATGTATGTGTTTGTCTTGTAGCAAGAGGGAAAAGAAAACAGAACCATGTTATAAATTACAATATAATATCATGTATTTATAGCTTCAAGGTACAAATAGGGGTGGTTATTACTAATGGGGACCAGAGGGACTTGTAATGCCTAATTATCCCCTCTTTGGGATTAGCATAAAGTCACTTTTCCTGATCATTAGAGGTTACAGGTTCACATTAGCATGGTCCAAATGAATAATGAACAGATCCACTGACAGAGACACCTTGAGAAAAAAGATAATTCAGATGTTCAAGCCAGACACCTGAGGCACAGAATTCACTTTATAAACTCATCATAGTTGTGCTAGCAATAAAATTTCACACCTGTTTTTAAATTTTTTTTCCTCTAGTTGTTGGTTGCCATCAGTTATTATAGGTGCTTTTTTCCCCTATGTATTTGATATCCGCACGGCAAATGTTTTCACTCTGCTCAGTGAACTGTGCTGAAACATCTTTCTGAAACCCTTCATTATTACCTTTGAAGGGATATAGGCCTTTAAAGCCTCTTTACAGAGAACTTACGTAGGGGCAAAAAAAAAACAAAACATTCTCATCCTTACACCCCCCCCCCACATACACACATGTCCATTATAAGCTCCTGCTGAGTTAATACTATCATCTCCTAATTAAAAAAACAGTGCCTTACACTTGCCTTTTTTTCACTTCCATAAAGCTTCTGGTTCTTGAATTTTCCAATACCCTGAGGAGAACTTTAAACTGAATTGTGCAGAAATACTGGTCTTAAGGTACTGTGTTTTTTGTTTCTGCTTTTTTTCCCATTGTCTTATTTATATTAAAAATGTTTAAATAAGGAATATATGACACTGTATTGAGAGGGATAGAACAAGTTGCTTCTAAGGAACTCCCTCAGTTTAACTGTCTTTTCCAACCTCACACTATTCCAGACCATCAGGCAAATTAGAGTATTTATGCCAGACACCCCTGGCCTTACATATATTTCCTTTCCTTCTCCTAAAATCATTTGCCTGGGACTTTATCCTGAAGTTTTTAACAGATAAATGGGGGAAAACCCAACTGTACATTTCTAACAACTGTCTGGTTGTTATATTCTGTACTCATTCTAGAATCATCACATGTTATCATGGGAAGTTAGACACTCTCCTAAGTATAGATGGCAAATGGAAGTCCATTTTAATGGTTGGGAGCAAATTATTCAGATTTAGATACCAACCCCAGTACCAAATATGTAGCTAAGTAAATTTGTACCAGGTAGTCACCTTCACTGACTCCACTTACTTATCTATGATATAGGGACAAAAATATCTCATAAGACTATTGTGAGGATAAATGTGATAATTTATTTTACAATGTGTTAACTTTTTGATGCCTGGCATTTAGTAAGCATTCACTAACTTTGTGGCTATTATTTTACAGCTTTGTTCATTTTTTCATATTCCAATTGTAAACACAGACTTTCAAGTCATTCAGACCCAGGTTCAAAGAATATTATGTACAAGATATTTGGGATAAAATTCATCTTTCTGAATCTCAGTTTATTCATCTATTTTCTCAAAGGTGTTTTGAGGATTAAATAGTGACCATAAAGTACCTAACATACATCCTAGAACTTAATAGTTACTCTGTAAGTGGTAGTTTCTTTCCCTGTTTCCATTAGTATATATCACAGCTAATACAAAAATGTGGTCAACATGTAATAATCATAAATCTAAATAATACTGTTGACTAGTCCATTCTTTACTATTCATTGCCTGCCTATACTGGAAAGCCGGTTGGATACATGATGACCTTGGTTTGGGCAAAGGTGATATTAGCACAGTGTGTTGGGAAGACTTTTTGAAGGCTTTTGCTTTTCCTAATAAAAGGGACAGAAGAGGCTAGTTTCATCCTTTCCCTCCCATTTCATGCTTTAACTGTGTCCATGATTTCTGTACCTACAGTAATGGTCTTTTGGCCAGGAAAGGAAGGCCAATATAATTGCAGAAACAGCAACCCTGGTGTTATCACATAGATAAACCAATGCCAAGAGCTGCCTACTCAGCGTTTCTTGTTAACCAAGATAGTAACTATTATTTGGACAGGTGAATGTTGGTTGGGTTTTCTGCTACTTTTAAAGTGGTATATCCCACTAGAGACACTAAGCCTTTTTCTGTCTACAAATTAGCTCCAAGAAACCAAAGATAACATATCACTTTCATCCCTGCTAAAAATTTGAATCTAATTTTTAATTTTATTATGTATGTTCCTGGCCATATGCTTCCTTATTCTTTATTCTAACATTTCTGGGAATTAGAATACAAAGTGATGCATGTAGATAACAATTTATTTAGTTCTCCTTTTAAGTTTATAATAAAACTAAAAACAAAAGGATATCCTTTTTAATTCTTACATTGCCTGAATTATCTTGTTCTTAAACTTCAGAAAGAGGGAAAACTAGATACATATTACAAGAGTGATGTGAATCTTAGAGTGATTCTTTGAGGTAGGTTCTATTAATATCATTCCCATTTCATAGATGAGAAAACTGAGGAATTAAGAGGCCTAAAGTCTCTTCATTGGTAAAAGGTAAACCTAAGCAATCTGGATGCTATGTTATACTATTTGGGCCTTGTGTTCTTTTTCAATAAAATATGGTTCGACTAGTTGGCTTCTACATTTCCTTTCATGTCTAATTCTCTACTTCTTTCAGAGTACTAACAGCCAATTTCTCCATCTTCTGCTCTCCTTACTATGATAATTAGAGAGAAGCACCATCGACAGGGAGAGAGTTTAGCATGGATTATGGATTTAAACATGGCCTTTTTTAGTCACTTTTACTATGTTTATGGCCATGGGAAATTTACCTAACCGCTTTACATCTAATTCCCTTATTTGTGAAACTGTATATGATATCACATAGTGATTTGATCTGAGACTTCAATGAGATCATCCATATAAAGTACTTAAAGCACAGGGCTTGGTACATGATGCTCAACAAATATTAGTCATTATTTTTGCTGTTATTGCTATTATGTTAATCTCTGAAAACTTGATTTCAAGTAAGGTGGTGCGAATTCTGTGAATTAAAATCTATTGTCATAAGAAAACCATCACTGACATGTTTGATAAATTTCATTAATCTTATTCATATTACCATATTATCAAGTAATTCGTTTGATATATGTTCTCTTCCTGAATCCTGAAAAATAAACTTGAAATTAACTTTCATTTTAGTAGGTCTATAGCAAGAGAAAAAATATCCACCAATGACAGTAACAAAACAAAGGCAACATTCCTTTAATTTCTTGTGCCAGTCAATAACTAGATATGTAGTAAGGTGGTAAAAACAGGACAATTTAATATCAAACATTACATTAAAAACTGAATTTCATCCAATTATCAGATCCTAATAACACATCCCAACCTAACTTAAGGAATTGACTGAAGCAATTACTGAGTCACTAAATATTATTTATGAGTTTTTGAAGGACACAGTGTCTCTGATAGCAACAACTCATCACCTTTCTTTTAAAGAGGGAAAGGACAATTGTAAAAGCAATAAGCCAATCACCTTGACAAGTTGATCAGCGAATTTCCAACCATGCTCTTCAGAGCCTAACAAAAGAAAATCTTAACCGTTTTCCACATGCTTTTATCTATAGCTCTCTTTTAACGTCAGTTGAAGTATACAGATATATAAAACTTACATTAATATATACATCATATATATGCATATATATAATATAAATTTTACAAATTGGACTCTGTTTTTAAGAAAGGCTTAAGGGCTAAGAAGCCAACAGCAAATAAACAAAATTTTGAATGACTATGGCTTAAAGAACACAAGAAAAAAATCACAAAGTTGTTTAAAATAAATTTAAAAATTCATATTTTTGATTTCTAAGACGTTAGATTCACAACGTTATGTAAAATGAGAATACATCCTACCAGGATGTTGGGATGTTGGAAGTAGGGTTTTTTTCTTTGCTCTTTAATTCTGTCATTCATAGTATTAACGCTTAGCTGTTACTGAAATCAACAAAGCCCAAAGTTGGGATTTATTTAGTTAAGGAGAGTGAGTGAGTGAGTGAGTGAGCATCCCAACCATGATCTCCAGATTACAGGGGTGACTATTAGTAACCTTTCACCTAAGGCATTTTCAAATAATGCCTTGTCAAGAAAGTGTTCCTGGCCCTCCTGACAGGTATGGTTAGAGGAGTACTTGAACAGTTTGTGGTATTAAATGAACCCAATATTGCTATCTCCCTGGGCCTTTTAACTCCTTCTTCTGTAGTATGCCAGGTAAATTCTGGCTTTGACACTTTTTTGATGAAAGGTCACCAATGTCTCCAGCCTATAATTAGCCAACCTAATGATTAAAATCATTCCTATGTGCTTAAAGCAGCACATTAAATTCTGTAACTTTGGTGAGCATATGTATATCAGTCATTTTTGTCCAATCAAGTAACACCCATAGAATCTACACTCTCACATGCTTCTGATTCCTGCTAATACAAACTAATGTGGTCCTATGGGTAGAGGAGCCATGAAGGGAAACGGTGGTGTG